GCGACTGTATCGTGTGTGCACTGAGGCAGGGAAGGCAGATGTGTCTGCTAGGGCACAGGAGCAGGCCAGACTGAGTGACCAGCCAGGGTCCCGCTTCCAGAAGTGGCCAGACTCGGTGGGTCAGGTTGCTCCATCCCCCCGGAAGAGCTTCAGGGGACATGAGGTCACAGTGGACTACTCAGGGCCTAGAGGGCTGTTTGGGGTATCCGAGATCTGTCCTGCAGCTGACGTCTATCAGCTCCAGCCCCAAACTGAACCTCGCTCAGCGTGATCGGTATGGTTTCCTGTCCTGTCTACCCAGGAACTTTGTCCTAAGGGCCAGCAGAAGTCAGCAAAGAGAAGACGCTTTGGAAATGTGGTAACTCCAAGTCTCTGTTTACTTTTGGACCATCCCTAGCCCTATTTGGGGAATGTTCCCAGCTTTGTGTGTGGGTTACTTGTGGCACTGGGTGGCAGTGGGTGGGGTGAGTGTCATTCAGTGCTGGAAATTGAACCCAGGGCTCACACATGCAAGACAAGTGTCTTCCACAGGGCCAACTCCTGTCCCCTGATTACTATCTTAGAAAAAAAAATCCTAATCTGCTTCCTAAACTAAGAATTTGTTTGAGAGCAAAAAAGGCTTCTGGAAAGACCCATGCGTTTCCGCTGAGTAACCCGCAGGAGGAATGATGCGTTCTGTTGTCGGCTCTCATGTCAACGAGATGGAGAGTCTGGCCAGCGCTGTCTCTTTCCCTTACGTATTCGTATCCAAAGAGCCAGACATTCAGAATACATAACACTTCCCTTTCACCAAGCAGAGACGGAGACGTCTGTCTCTCGGTGACAGTTGGCACAACACACGATGAAGAAGTGGGAGACCTGCTGGGGGTCCCCTCTTCACAGGGATCATCCGTGCCCGCAAAAACACAGCTGAGACAGCTGAAGGATGGAAGCGTGGGAAAGAATCGCATGCAAATAAAGCGTTTCTTTCATGAAACTCAGAGCCCTTCAAGGCTGCAGCGATGGGCCCTAACGAGAAAGCACACCAGGATGCCTGAAGCCGTGTTATCAAAACAGTGAACTGACATTAAGGGGGAGGGGGGGAATGGAACCACGACCACCTGTACTACAGCCTTGCTGTGACAACAGACCCAGTGAGGGCATGTGCAGGCAAAACTGTGGCTTTGAGACTTCTCTGTCCCGCGTGAGATGCAGACCCAGGAACCGTCTTTGGCAAAGCTTCTATGGTGCAGGTGTGTCACGAGATCACACTGCATCTGTTTTTCAAGCACGTAGGGAAGTAGTACACATCCAAGTGTTCTGCAAAGGGAAGATATGATTTTCAGTTCTTGTTACTGACTATTTCGGGGGCCTCCCTGGATGCTGGAGGAAGGCCTCCAGGGCAGTGCTCAGGGACAGTGTGGTGCCAGGGACAAGACCCGGGGCCCTGTGTATGCCAGGCATGCACTCCAATCTTTCGAGCTGCCTCCCGGCTCTTTCTTTTTCTCTTGTGGCTTTTGGGGCACACCTAGCAGTGCTCAGGTCTTACTCTCCTGGCTCTGTGCTCAGGGGTCACTCCTGGCTGTACTCAGGGGGGACCTTATGGGATTCCAGGGATCAAACCTGGGGCAACTGCATGCAAGGCCTTAGCTTCTTGCCCTCCCTTATTTGTTTCCTCTGGGGGCCCTCCCAGTGGTAGTTGCTGGATGATGCAGGCTGATGCTACAGTGCTTACCTGAAGCTACGGTGCTGGAAGGGGGTGTTGAGAGCCGGACTACCCTGTGAGGACATAGGGCCTGGACTTGGGGTCTCACATATGCCAGTCATGTGCTTCGCCCTTTGATCCTTCTCCCCAGGCGTTTCTCTCTTTCTTCCTTCTTTCCTTCCTTCCTTCCTTCCTTCCTTCCTTCCTTCCTTCCTTCCTTCCTTCCTTCCTTTCTACCATACCTGGTGAAACACATAGTTTTCACGGTTAAAAAAATTAAAAATGGGGCTGGAGCAGTAGCACAGTGGGTAAGGCATTTGCCTCATGTGGCTGACATGGCCAACCTGGGTTTGATTCCTCCGCCCCTCTCGGAGAGCCCGGCAAGCTACCGAGAGTATCTCGCCTGCACGACAAAGCCTGGCAAGCTCCCTGTGATGTATTCAATATGCCAAAAACAGTAACAACAGGTCTCACAATTTGTTGTGAGATGTTACTGGTGCCCACTTGAGCAAAGGGATGAACAACGGGAGGACAGTGCTATCTGGTGATGCTCAGGGCTCATTCCTGGTGGTGCTCAGGGGACCCTATGGGGTGCCGGGAATCAAACATGGGTCAACTGCGTGTAAGGAGAGCGCCCTACCCACTGCACTATCCCTCCAGCCCCATTTTTAATTTTTTGAACCGTGAAAACCATTTGTGTTTACATAGGCAGTTTCTTACCGTTTTCCCTGATGGTACACCACACCTTTGCTTTCTCTCTGGCTTCTGCTTGTCCTTCTGTTCTGACTTCCTGGGCACATTTCTGTGTTCCTGGCTTTGGCACATTTTCTTCTGTTCCCTCTGTCCACGTTCCTGCTTCCCATCATTGGCAAGAAGCTTCAGGTACTGGATCACCTTTGGGGACTTGTCTCTTGGGCCAGGTCTGTCCACTGAGTGGCCTGCAGGCTCCCCAGAGTGGAAAGGCACCTCAGTGTCCGAGGTGACAGGACTCACCTGTCAATGTGAGGAGTTTTGTCTTGAGGAGGTGACAGGACTAGTCCCTCAGTGTGAGGCAGGGTATCTGGGAGATGACAGTACTCTTCCCTCAGGGTGAGGAGATTTGTCCTGAGGAGGTGACAGGACTGTTCCCTCTGTATGAGGCAGAGTATCTGAGAGATGACAGAACTGTTCCCTCAGAATGAGATTTGTCCTGAGGAGGTGACAGGAATGTTCCCTCAGTGTGAGGCAGGGTATCTGGGAGATGACAGGACTGTTCTCTTGGAGTGAGGAGATTTGTCCTGAGGAGGTGACAGGACATCCTTCAGTGTGAGTCAGGGTATCTGGGAGATGACAGTACTCTTCCCTGGGAGTGAGGAGATTTGTCCTGAGGAGGTGACAGGACTGTTCCTTCAGTGTAAGGCGGGGTATCTGGGAGGTGACAGGACTGTTCCCTCAGTGTGAGGCGGGGTATCTGGGAGGTGATAGACTGTTCCCTCAGTGTTGGGAGAGTTATTTAGGAGGTGACAGGGCTGTTCTCTTGTGTTGGGAGGTTGGCCTGGGTACTGGTTTGTGACTCCTGCAGTGTGCCCCTATGGATGGACTCAAACCCCAGAAAAGGAGCAGCGGTGTCTGATCTCTGGAAACTGAGGCATTTCTCCTTCCTGCAGCCACGGTGCGCAGCTGGGCAGCTCCTGTGATGGGGGCCACAGAGAGGATGGGCTGCTTGGGTCTGGGGTCTCCTGGAGGGCAGCTGTCCGCGTTGCCCACTGACACAGCCCCTCTGCAGGGGTCTTGATCCCCTCATCGGTCCCTGGCCGCTTTGGCTGTGTCCAGCTCTTGGTCATTGTAAGTCGTCCCCCGTGGACAGAAGCAAGTGGTCACCTCCTCAGACGAGGGCTTCTCCTCCTCCGCCTGTGTTCTCGCGCGTGGGGCTTCTCCCAGCACACCTGCTTCCTTTCCTGGCTTTATTTTTCTCCAGCCCTTCCTCTTTCTATCACGTGGCCTTATTCTCCAGTCTCCTCATTTATTCTGCCGGCCGTCTGTTTCCATCTGCCTTGACCCACCACACTGAGAGCCAAAGGCAGGTTCTGGGCCCTGACCCAGAGCATGCCAGGGGCCCCCAGAACCAGTCCTGAAGGCAGGGATGAGAGCAGGAGGGAAGATAGGATGTCGCCAGGGCTGGATGCCTTCCCTGTGCCAGGCACTTGGCCAGCTCTGTCCTGGGGCAGCTACTGGCTCTGGGCTCTGTCCGCCCCATCCTAGGGTGATCTTCACACACCCCTCGTCACTCGGAAGCCCACACATCTCCACCCTGTGCCCCACTGGCTTGATCAGCAAAATTCTCCCCAAAGCTCCATCTTTGCGACCCCTAGTTCCAGCGCTGTGGGGGACGCTGGGGCTCTGCCTCTTCTTTTTTTTCTTTTGCCTTTTGGGTGACGCCCGGCGATGCTCAGGGGTTACTCCTGGCTCATGCACTCAGGAGTTACTCCTGGTGGTATTCAGGGGACCATATGGGATGCTGGGAATTGAACCCCGATTGGCCGCGTGCAAGGCAAACTCCCTCCCCACTGTACTATTGCTCCAGCCCCTCTGTCTCTTCTTTTGAGGGTGGGTGGGACTGGAGAGGGGTCCTGGCTGGGCACATGGGTGCGTCAGCCCGAGCTGCTCAGGACAGATGTTGGGATACTGCCTCCACCCAGTTCATCATTCCCGCAGAGGCCACCCAGGCAGTGCAGGAATTTTCTCAGAATTTGAAAATTTAAATTTGAAAATCAACTTTGGGGCGGGGGGGGGGGGGTGAGAGTGGTGGGAAATGTGCCAGGTGCCCGCCTGGATTGGGGATTTGGACACGTGTCACCTTGCCCTGTGGTGGGTGGCACCCGGATCCCTGCCTGGGACGCGCCCCCTCCCGGGCCAGCTCCTGCCTCCGCAGCCTGGAGAAGCGCTTGCTTTAGGGGTTCAGGGGCGCCCCACCACGGTATTCCTCACAGGGTCCGGTGCTTTCTCCCAGGAATCCCCTCGGCATGGGGAGCCCCCAGTCCCCCCGGCTGTGCTGTGGGGGCAGTTTCAGGGCTGAGCTCTTCTGGTATCTGGTATTCGCTGAGTGACTGGGATGGCCCGGGAGGAGGGCCGAGGGACAGGTCGGGCTAGTTCTGCTGTGTTGTTTATACTCGGGATTACCTCACACCTCCCAACCTGCCGCCCCGCCCCGCTGTGCCAGGGGGCTGGCCCTGGGCCCTCCAGCCCCCTTTTCCACACATGTCCGGGAAGCCGGAGTCCAACATGGACCTTCCCGTGGACACCAGCTGAGCCTGGCAGCTGAGCCTCCCTGGAGACCATGGACAGGGACAGCAGCCGGGTGAGTGGGGTCCCGAGCCTGGGCCAGGAGCAGGGTCGGGCGCTGGCTCGGGTCTGTGTGTGTGTGTGTGTGTGTGTGTGTCTTTGTGTGTCTTTGTGTGTCTGTGTGTGTATCTGTGTGTGTATCTGTGAGTGTGTCTGTGTGTCTGTGTGTGTATCTGTGTGTGTGTCTGTGTGTCTGTGTGTCTCTCTGTGTGTCTGTGTGCATGTATCTGTGTGTGTGTCTGTGTGTGTGTGTGTATGTTTGTGTCTTTGTGTGTCTGTGTGTGTATTTGTGTGTGTATCTGTGAGTGTGTCTGTGTGTCTGTGCGTGTATCTGTGTGTGTGTGTCTGTGTGTGTATCTGTGTGTCTGTGTGCATGTATCTGTGTGTGTGTGTGTGTGTGTGTGTGGTGGGGGGGAACAAATGGGCCTTTTCCAGCTGGTTTGCCTCCCTTCATGGGCTCCTAGAAGCAGGTACCCTGGGCAGGGGACTCTGGGCACTTTCAGGGCTGCCTCAGCCAAGCCTCACAGCACTCACAGAACGTTCTAGAGAAAATGGGGGCTTTGTAGGGGCGAGAGAGCTCTCCCTGTGAAGAAGGGGCGTCAGCCTCTCCCGCTCTCCTATTCAGGGGCTCACTTTTAGCCCCCAAGGACCTGCCGGGGTCAGGGTCACTGTCACCCCCTCTGTCCAGCGCAGGCAACTTCCTCTGTTCTTAGTGGTGGAAGCAGCTAGGATGTCCCCAGAGAGACCGGCCTCCCGCCAGCTGGTCTCCACAGTCTGTCCTGCTGGGCCCCGCTTTCTGCCCCCTGAGGACGTTCCTGTGGTGGCCATCAGGCTCAGGTTTCCTCTTCTGGTGCCCACTGAGCCGCGGAGGGGCTGGTGCCGGCCCTGCCACAGGCTCCGTGCTCATGCTTGCAGTTCACCCTGTGGCCCGTCCCAGCTACTCTCGTCCTGCTCTTCCCGCCCACTCTGAGGGTCTCTGCCGCCTCCCTCTGCCCTGTCCTCATCTGCCCTGGGCCCCTGGGTCCTCCTCACCCAGGCCCCTTGGCTCCAGGCCTCGGGGAGTGCGTGGAGCCCCTGCAGGCAATAAGGTGAATGCCTAAGTGGCACTGGGTGGTTGGGGCGGGGGGACCCACAGCCACAGCCAGGGACCCAACGATATGGTCCCTGTACCCGGGCCCTCTCCCTGGAGGGCACAGCCTGCTGGGGTCGGAGGGCCAGGCCTGAAGCTGGGGGTGGGGGCTTGCAGGAAAGACCCTCCCACCCCCGAAAGGCCAGGAGAGAGAAGAGGACAGACTTGATGTTATTGATGGACTCCGGGGCCTCCCACTGAACCCGTGAGCTGAGTGTCCAGGGGTGTGGGAGGAGTGCTGGGCCTTCCGGGAGCCGCTCCCGCCACAGAAGGAAAAAAGGTGGCGACAGCTGCATCCCTTTTGAGGGATCTTGAAGGCACCCCTCATCGGGGCCCCCCTCCAGTCTTGGAGCTGGGGGATGGGGAGGGAGCGGCCTTCGTTCCTGTCAGCAGCTGGGGTGTGAGCTCTGGCCTGTCCCCTGGGTCTGCAGGGAGAGGCTGCCCCTTCCTCACTTCCTTGGGCTCCAGCACCTGTGGGGATGGAGTGGGGTGGGGGCCACAGAGGGGCGAGGAAGGAGGGGCTCTGAGCGCCTCTGAGAGGAGCCGATGTGCATTGGGTGGGCGCTCAGGGGGCAAAGAACACAGAGCGAGTCCCAGGTCAGCTGTAGCTTTCGTCCCCGAGTGTTCGCATCCATGAAGGAATGAGCTGCCGTCCACCTCAGTGTTCCCAGAGGGAGACGGTTGACCACTGCGTTTGGCGCCAGCTGGACACGGCTGTCGGATACTCAGAGAATGTCCACTCTATGGGCCATGAAGGCAGCAGCAGGCACCCACTTCTGGCCCCTTCAGAGGGCTGGACCCACACTTCTGGGTCTCTGTTCGATGTGCTTCTGGAACATTCAATGTTCTGAGTGCTGAGCAGCTTCAAAGAAGTGCAGTGTTGACCAGAGCCACGAGTGGACGGGCCGAGTGGACTGCACGCCTCCAGGGGGGACTTCCCACAGTGGAGTGAGGGCTGCTCTCAGCGGCTGTCAGCGGGTCACTCCCCACAGGTCACTCTGCTGTCCCCCTGACCCCCAAGTGCAGGGAACCTCGGATCCTGGCTCCTGCCCACCTCATGTCCCTGCCCGGCTGATGCCAGGGCGCGTGGGAGTGTGTCCTGGCGGCCCTGCTGATGTAACAGGATCCACTTAGCCTAAGTGTCTTGTTTGGCCACAACAGTTTCCTCCTGGCAAGGCAACACGGGGGTGGCCGGTGCCCAGGCAGGTGGGCAGGTTGCTGGGGGGTGGAGGTGAGGTACCCAGGAAGCCGGGACAGGGAGCCCAGGGCTCTGCCAGCCAACGGGAGGCGGGTGTCCAGGCTCAGAATGTCCATGGAGACCCCAGCACGGCCCAGCCCTGAACGGCGGCCTCACCCCCGCGGGGTCAGAGAGGGACAGAGGGAGACAGTTCCTGGAACGGGCTGTGGCTTGCCCAGCACCAGAGCACCAGCTGGGGTTGAAGGACTCGGTGGGTGACCGTGAATGAATGAACAAAGGACACTCACCGGAGGTGTGTGCGACGGGCCCGCGGGGAGTCCAGAGGCCTCTGGCTGCATGGGCGCTTTGTGAGACAGGTGCCAACACCGCCGGGAGGAACTCGAGGTGGCACCATCCCGTCTGGAGAGGATTGGGGGTGAACAGTGCCTCAGCCCTGGGACTCCCCACCGGGGCTTCTCAGAGGCTGTTCCGCGGACCCCTGTGTGGAAAGAGCTGGTTCCCCCTGCCCCCCCCCCCCACTCTGTGTCCTCGTGTCCGAGGTCCGAGTGAGGCTCTGTGAGGAACGGGCCCGTGCCTTGGGCTGGAACAAGTCACACCGCGACAGTCATTCTTCTGGCCAGGCTGCCTGGAGCATGGTAGGGGACAGAACAGGGTGCTGGGAGGGTTGCCGGAAACCCATCTGCATTTGTGGGTTTCTGGGGGCACAAGGTGGGCGGCAAAGCATGCCTGGTTCCTGTAGACCGGACCCCACCTTCCTGGGCCATCATCACCTTGCTGGGGGCAGTTGGGGTGGGGGGGGGAGGGGGTTCTATAGGGCTGAGCAGTGCGGCTTTGGCTTCTGAGATTTGTGGTGGGCTTAGGTGGACGCCCCTGGCTGCAGCCTGGAGTTCCAGGTACCCCCCGACCCACCTCTATAAATTCTGGGGCTTCGTCAGGCGGAGGCAGAGACCCCGGGGAGACTCGCTCTCACACAGCCTCCATGACCCTCGCAGCCATGGTCTGGCGGGCTGGAGGCCGCAGAGCCAGGAGACCAGGGCAAGACTAGGACAGCATCCCAAGGGACCAGTGTCTGTCCCCAGACGGGAGACAGATGTCCGCTTCTCAGGGGGCTGGGACACCCCCCCCCAGCAGGGGGAACACGCCAGGTTAGGTGTCAGGGGGCTCAGGTCTGCTCTAAGGTCAACCTAGGTCACTTTGGGCCCAGCGTGTAGGGTCTGACCTCTCCTTCCTTATCTGCAAACTGAGACCAATAATCCTTATCAGGGTCGGAGGAGAGGCCAAGCCCTGACCCCGGCCCCGCCCTGTCCACCCACCTGAGGGCCCGGGGAGGGGACTGTGGGGTGTAGGTGGGTGAGGAGCCCCGGGCCCGGCCCCCGGAGGCGAGTTCCAATCCTCTGAGGGAACGGCCACTCCTGGTTCCTCAAGTCGGGAGTCGGACAGGTTCTGGTCCCGGCTCTGCCCTGTGGCTCTCGGGACCTTGAGCAAGGAAACTCCTCCCTGGATCCCTGTGTCCTGGGCGCTCTCCAGGAACCAGCCGGCAGCACCCGGGAAGGAGCTGGGGAAGGCAGCCGGGCAGAGGCCGAGAGGGCCACCGGGGACATGCTGGGGGACAGACCAGGCCTCTCTGGCGGGGCTGGCCCTCCACCCCACTCCCTCCAGTCTGGGTGGGCCTCGCACTGCCACTTCTCCATGGGGAGACCTGACCTCCCCACCATGGGCAGCATGTCAGACCCTCTCCTGGCCCCCGGCTCTGACTCCGCGGTGCTTGTCTCATGGGTGCCGACCGGAGCTGCCTGACTTAGTGGGAGCTCTGCCCTCTCAGGCCCCCAGACCCACGATTCTGCCCCCTAGCATGACCTTTCGGGGGACTCCAGAGGCCAAGGCAACTTCTACAAGTGTGGCCGGGAGTGACTCCCCATTGCCTCACTCTCTGGGTGCAGAGCCAGAGGCTCACTACAGTCTCCCCCAGACTCAGCTGACGGCCCCAGGACTGTCCTTTGCCTCCTGTCTGAAGGTTAGGGATGGCACATCTGCCTCTGGCAGAGTCAGTACCAGGCAGGACTCAGCTTTTGGGACCCCCCCGGGCTCCCTGAGCTTGCTCGACCCACCCCACTTCCTCTGCTCCCCATCCCACCCCACCTTCTCCTGTACCCCCCTTCCCCCACTGTCCTCTCTCCTCTGGGGTCAGGGGTCCTGCCTCCATGCTCAACTCAGGTTGGAATCAGGGGGTATCCCCATGAGACCCGTCATCAGTTAGGGGGTGCACTGGTTGGTTTTTGAACGCCGGTTTCATTCTCCATAAACTGGGACTTAAGTCACTTCTGCTGCCAGATGTTGCCACCTCACCGGCTGGTGGGGTGGGTGACAGCTCCCTGCAGGAAACCCCCAGGGAGGAAGGGGGGACTGTGGGTCTGGGAGGCCACTTGGTCATCTGGTTTTCCCCTTGGACACTGTGCTCAGGTCCTTGCCCTGCCCTCACCAAGAAAGAATGGGGGGTGCCCTTGGCCTCCTGGGGGTTCAAAACCCTCCCCAGCTGCCCCTGTCCTGGGCATAGTGCCCTGGGTGCTGTCACCCTGCTCCTGGGGCTTCCCAAGTGACAGGGTGGATCCCATAGGGTTCATTCCACAGGGATCCGGCCCACGGCACAGGTGAGTGGCATGGCTATCAATCACTTCCTTCCTCACCACCGTCCCTCAGAAACAGGCCTAGGGTATGCCACACATACACACCCACGCCCTGGCAGTGGCCAGCCACTTGTCCTGGTGCCCAGCACACAGCCCTCACAGATGTGTGCGTGCAAGCGGGCAACTGAGTCACCTCAGATAAGGAAACAGGCGTGAGGAGGCCCCATCTGGTGGCCGTCACCAACAGGTCATGAGCCCTGGGTCATGGGCTGGCTGCCCTGTCCCCAGGTTAAGTTCCGCAAGACAAGACAGTCCCTCAACCACTGACACTTCACAGCAGTCCTGAGCCATAGTGGCCCCCTCCCGGCTCTTGGCCCCATGTCCTGCGTGAGGCAGAACCCAGGGGCCCATTTCAGGGACAGGAACTTGGGTGACCCCAAGGTGGGGAGGGTGCTCTGTGACGCCTCAGTTTCCCCATCTGTAAGGTGGGCTTCTGAAGCCCCCAGCCGCCTAGAGATGGGACGAGCAGCAGGTCATGAGACCCCTGATGTACAATTTACATCAAATTACCCCTGGTGGAATTCTAAAGCAGTGATTTAGAATAAAAAGGTTGCCAATTGCTGGTCTTTCTAATTGGAGGTGGGGGGGTGGTTTGGGCCCCACCTGGCAGTGCTGACTCCTGGCAGGTTCAGGGGACCTGTGGGGTGCCAGGGATTGAACCTGGACCGGCTGTGAGCAGGGCGGTGCCATGGTCCTGTACCGTCTCTCCCGCGGCTTTGTCTTGCACACACAAGACAAAGTGAGCTTTTGTTGCGTTGTATTGTGTGTGCCCCCCCCCCAACTGGTCTTTGCTCATGCCCCCTGGCCGTCCGACTGGCATATCTCAGCAGGGCTGTCTCCGTGGGCTCCACAGTCGGGGACAGGGTGCGGCCACTTCCTGCCCCGTGCCAGGCCCGCACATTCTTCCTTTATCTTATCAGAGCCCCCGGGATTTTCAGCCCCAACAGTACATACTCAAGACTAGACAAGGGAAAGTGAGGCCACTGTCTGGGCACGGAGCAGGGGCCCCATCTGCCTGTGGTTCCCAAAGTGGGCAGCTGATCGGGGGGCACTGTTGCAGTTGGGGGGCACTTTCTCTGTGTTGGCATCATGAAGTTAGGTTTCCTGGAAGAGAGCACCGAGGGTTTTTTTTTCCTGAAAAGTGAGTGGCAGGCCCCATGATGGAAACTGTCCCCCCACACATCCTCCCGCTCCCTCGTGACTGCCCCCAAGTCCAGCCCTCTGGGAAGTGGCTCTGCTGGATGAACCCCATTGCCTGACCCGGGTTGTGAACTCTGGTTCAGGGGCCAGTGGCAGCTCTTGGGCTTCTGCCCCTAAGCACACGCACAGGGGGTTGTCTCTACACAGCTGGCTGGGAACAGGGGCGCCACCAGTGGGTCTCCAGGCTCTCCCCGGGCCTAGCTCTCCTGGTCCCTGCCTCTGGCACCCAAGTGGGGCCCAGACCCAAGATTCCTTGAAGTCTCCCCACCACCCCTCACCCCCCCCCCCCCCGCAAAAGCCAAGGGGTGACCAAATCCAGCACTGCTCACTCTGGGGACAAAGAATGGGCACAAACAAGTAACCCGAGCAGGAGCCGCCCCCTCCCCCAGGCCCTGTGGGCACGAAGCCCCTCTGCATCCTAGGGCCAAGCCGGGTGTCAGTGAGTGAATCGTCTGGGGGCGCCGGGCTGCTGGGTCACCCCTGGCCTCTGCCAGGAACATGCCTGGCCGGCACGGGTGCTCCTCCTCCATGTCTGTCTCTCCAGTTCCCATGTAGACGCCGTGTCCAGGCACAGAGAGTGCAGAATGTGCACATGCATCTGTGAGTGGGGAGGGGGGCAGTGGGTTGAGCACACCTGTGTGGGTGCGGGGATCACATGTACATGTATGTGCATGTGGGTGTGTGAGCACGCCTCTGTGGGTGCAGGGATTGTGTGCACATGTATGTGCGTGTGGGTGTGTGAGCACGCCTCTGCGGGTGCGGGATCACGGGCACATATGTGCATGTGGAGACGTGTGAACATGCACCTGGGTGGTGTGGGGAGTGAGTGCACACGTATGTGCGTGTGGCCTCTGCAGTGTGCGGGATGGCGTGCACGCGCCCATGAGCAGGAGCTGTGTGCGTGCGTGTGGCCTCTGCGGGCTGGGGAGTCTCCAGAGAACAAGCTACACCTGGTCTGAACTCGGGTGCAGTTGAGAGCAGGAGTCCGAGGCAGGACAGAGCTTTCCCTGAGGCTCGTCCCGTGTCATCAGTGACCAAGCCTGTGAGCACCGGGGCTTACAGTGGCCACAGCTGACCAACGTCCTTGAAAGGACAGCGGCAGGTCCGGGGACAGCAGGTGCCAAGGGGAGAGGAGGGAGGCGTGTGCCCCGTGGGGGACCCTGTCTGTTTGAGCCCCTGCCCCCTTGTCTGAGGGGCCCTGGGCACTGGCAGATGCCCCCTCCCTCTTCAGGGCCTGGTGTGGGGGGAGCTGGGCCCTGAGTGTCCATCCCAGGACGGCATCTCTGGGGACACTTTCCTTCTGGGGGCTGCTTGTCCCGGCCCTGGCCACGCTCCCTCAGGAGCTGCTTGCAGTGCTCATCCTCCGCTCTTCTTCCAGAATGGCTCCCCCGCCCGCCCGAATCCCACTCGCCCGGCCCCGGCCCGCGCTGCCCCCGTCTCGGCCCTCCCCGCCCGGACGTCGCCCTCCAGGTCATCGTCCAGCAGGTCATCGTCCACCCACTCGGCCTCCACGATGTCCTCTCCGACCAGAGCGTACCTCGTCCGAGCGACCCCCGTGGGGGCCGTGCCAGTGCGAGCAGCTTCAGCCGGGCCAGCGCCCACCCCCAGGGCCGATGGGGCAGGTGAGCTGGACTCTCTGCCCTCAGAGAAGGGGTGCGGGGAGAGGGTGCATCAGGGGCAATGAGGGAGGTAGAAAGGCGCCAACACAAGGCAGAAGAATGGGGACCCTGGCGGAGGGAGGAGCAACCGCCCCTGGGGTCAGAGTGCAGACGGGGGGCCCCGCCAGGGGAGTTGGGTTCTATGTGGGCACCAGGCCCCGGTCAGTGGGTCTGTCTGGGGGCAGCAGGAGGGGGGCCTCTCTGAGCAGGAGGGCGTGCCTCACGCTGAACACCCCAAATGGTGGCCGGAAATCAGAACTCCCCAGGGGGCCCGGGACCCTTCCCTGGTGTGAACAGTGTCCACGCCCACCCACACTGCCCTGTTGTCTCCCTGACACCACAGGGCCCAGGAAGTGGCCAGGCTCGGGCCAGGCTCACAGTCGTGCCCTCCCCGGGGGTTGAGGGGAGGCAGCCTCTGGCGGCAAGTACACTCCACTCACCAGCCACGTAACTCCGAGTGCCTTCTTTGAATATCCTTCCACGGGCCTCACTTTCCCTGTTTGTGAAATGGATGCAGGCATACCCAGTTTACTGCTGATGACCTCACGTCAGGCCTCAGGGTGAGCCTGTAATGACCACCAAGCCTCACTTTCCCCGCCTGTGAAATGGGTATAACGACGCCATTTTACTGTTCATTATCTCAGCTCCGGCTGCAGGGTGACACATGCTGAGGCCTGACCGGCTTCTGGTGGAGGCACCACCGGGAAGGAGGCCATTGGAAGCAGGGAATGGGAGTGGAACCGCACTCAGGATGCGGGGGGGGGGGGGTGCCTCCCCCCTGGGTGGCGCTGGGCTCGTTCCCTGACCGCTGCCCCTCACCCACAGGTGCCCGCGTGCCCAAGTTCAGCTGGCGCGAGGGCAAGAAGCGGCTGCCGCTCATCGGGTGTGTCCTGCTGCTCATCGCCCTGGTGGCGTCCCTCATTGTCCTTTGTGAGTGTGGCCACTGATGCCGTCGGGCAGGGTGGTTGGGGGGGGCGGGCGGTCTCCCGGTGTGCAGACGGACATTCCTGCCAGTGACCCCTGTGATCCTGGGGCTCTCGGAGGCAGGGGAAGTGGGATCTGGTGGCAGGTCGGGGACCCTCTCTGAGCACGGCTTCTGGGCCTTGGGATGGCGTCCTGCTGTGTGCCCCGGAAGGTGACAACCGCCCCTGGTCGTGAAATGGGAGAAGGGGACAGAGTGAGGTGGGGGGAGGCAGCTGCCTTAGCTGAGGCCGCCCGGGCTTGATGCCCAGCACCACATGGCCTCCAGATATCACAGATGCAGCCCTGGAAGCTTCCAGCACCCCAGGGTGGCCCAGCACCGCAGGGCCCAGTAGCTGGCACCCTCGGTGGAACATCACTGGGAAGGGCCCCAGACTCGGGGACTGCTGGGAGAGTCGGGGACGAACCCTCATCCCCAGAGGGGCGGACGGGGCCTCAGTGTTTCCGGTCAGTGGGATCAAACCCTCAGGAGCTTAGCATTCTTTTTGGGGTCAGCCATGTCCGGGAGCCACTGCCCTGGAGTCCGCTAGGAGCCAGGGTCTCGGGGGCGGGGCCTGATGGGCCAAAGGAGGTGGTTTCTGGGGACACAGGGTGGCTGTGGGAGGGAGGATGGGAGGCACAGGGAGGGGCAGGCTGGGAGCAGGCACCCGGTGAGCGGTGGGAGTGAGAGGCTAAGGGTGAGAGCACAGGAGGGCCCAGCTGGAAGGGCGAGCCGGCAAGTCGCTCCAGACAGAGAAGCTGAGCAGCTGTCCCTCCCCGGAGGACCTGGGCCAGGCTCCGCATCTGCCCCCAACAGTTGCCTGGAGGGCAGGGTCCCAGAAAGGCCGAACTTCTCACTGGATCCCCCTCCTCGTCCTGACCCTCTGGGGCCAGGAAGCTGCTCTGACACTGTGTAGTCACATGCTGGCATCACTTCCAGAACCCTGGTCCCCACCCTGGACTTCCTGTCCAGTGCTCTTCCCACTCGCCATCCAGGGGACCCTCCCACCACCGCCCCTGGCACTGCCCTACCAGGCAGCTTCTCTGGGTTTCTGAGCAAGATCCTGAGAGCACTGGGTGGCCGAGCCCAGGGTGAGGGAGGGGAAAGGCCAGGAACCGAGAGTTAGCAGCTCTGTGGGGTCACCAGGGACCAGTGGGAGAAAGGGGGGCACAGCTGAGGACTGGGGGGGTGGGAGTGAGGCCTAGAGCCTGGCCGCCCAGGACGGGGGAGGGAAGTCTTAGAAACAGGCTCCAGGGAGTGGCTTCAGGATGGGGAATCAGGCCCCTGGTGTGGTGCCTGGGAAACATTTACAGGCCTTGGGCCCAGTGAGGGGCAGAGCTGAGCCCTGGGGACACCCCCTGTCCAGAGACAATGTGTGTGGGGGGAGAAAACCCTGGTGCTCTGGGGCCCGAGGGCCCGCCAGCGGGGAGTGGGCACAGTTGCCCCTTGCCCGCCCAGGTGCCGGGAGGAGGGACTGCTGTGACCAGGGCCACCGAGACAAAGGGACCCCAGTGGGTGCCGGGCAAGGGTTCCTGGCCGGGGGAGTTGATCCTGCTCTCCTCCTCCCGCGCCCCACTTTGCTCTCAGGGTGGCCGGTGCTGCCCTGCTTGCAGGAGCCCCCCGGCACCTCCTGGAGCCCCCCTGAGCAGCTTTTCTCTCCACACAGATGGGGGACGAGAGCCCCAGAGTCCCAGAGGGATCGCAGGTCGGTGTCCGAACCCCCCAGGGCCTTGGGCTGCTCCGGTCCTGCCTCTCGGGGGGCAGGCGCTCACCCGGCTCTCGGCGTCTCTTGTTGCAGTTTATTTCTGGCGGGGCCACACGGGGATCGAGTACAAGGAGCCGGTGGAGAGCTGCCCGCGGCACGCCGTGCGCTGTGACGGGGTGGTGGACTGCAAGCTGAAGACGGACGAGCTGGGCTGCGGTGAGGGTGTGGCTGGCGCGTGCGCTGTTCGGGGTGCGCCTCTGTGCGCGGTACACGCAGGGGGTGTGCGTGTGTGGTCGGCGCATGGTACACGGGTGGTGCGCGCAGGTGCCTGTGTGCTCTATGGCAGGGGAGTGTGTGAGGGTGTATGTGTGCGTGGTACATGCCTGGTGTGTGCGTGTGTGGTCCACGGGTAGTGCATGCATACACATGAGTGTGGAGAACACGCATGGTATGTGCAGGTGTGCATAGTACAGGCATGGTGTGTGCGAGTGTGGTCCACGGGTGGTGCGTGCGTGCCCATGAGTGTGGAGAACTTGGGTGGGGTGCGCATGTGTGCATAGTACATGGTGTGTGCATGTGTGCATAGTACATGGTGTGTGCATGTGTGCATAGTACATGGTGTGTGCTTGTGTGGTTCATGCGTGCACATGAATGTGGAGAACACAGGTGGTGTGTGCATGTGTGCATGGTCTAGGTATAGTGCATGTGTGCATGGTTTCAGGTGTAGTGCATGTGTGCATGGCGCGGGCATAGTGTGTATATGTGCATGTGTGGAACGAGGGATTGCACACATATGTATACACCTGTGTACACATGTGTGGCGCATGAGTGGTGCATGCGTGATGTGTGTACCATGAAGGTTGCACACTGGAGCCGGCCCCCTTGGGAGGGAGTGGACAGAGAGTCGCAGCTTCTGCTGTGAACCCAGCTCTGAGTGTGGTGGGCCGCAGGCAGGTCACACACCTCTACGCCCCAGGCTTGTGGCCTGCGAGGCAGCCCAGTGACTCTGAGGGACGAGTCCCGCCACTCCCAATGCCAACCCACGTGGAGCTGCCGGAGCCAGGGAGGCTCCACCGCCCCACCCATGTGCCCCCCAGCGTCTGGCCCTGCCCCTCCATTGAGCCTTCCTGAAGGCGAGTCTGCAGGTGGCTGCCCAGAAGGGGCTCTCCCTGCGTGGTCTGCTCCTGGCACCGTGGCCCCTGCCCTCTGACTGGGCTGCCCAGACTGCTCCCATCTCAGGCCTTCCTCCTCATGCCCTGTGGGGAGGGTGCCCGCCCCCGGGTGCCCACTCCTTGCCGTGCTCACTATTGGTGCCTGGATGGAGGCCTCGGGCCCTTCCCAGCCCCAGCCTGCCTTTGGCTTCCCAGGCATCCGGGGCCCCTGGGCATGGCTGGCCACTCCTGGGCCTCAGTCCGAAATCCCACCTGGCCCTTCTCAGCGCTGAGGGCGCTCTCCTGCCTCTGCTTGCCCCGCAGTCAGGTTTGACTGGGACAGGTCTCTGCTCCGGGTCTACTCTGCCGCGTCCCACCAGTGGCTCCCGGTCTGCAGCGACAGCTGGAACAGCAACTACTCCGAGAGGGCCTGCCAGCAGCTGGGCTTTGAGAGGTCAGTGCCCCCCACCTGCCTCGGGCAAGTGCGGCTCAGGGTGTTTGCAAGACCCCCTCCCCCATAAGCAGACCCTCAGAACCAGAGAAATAGTGCCGGGACTAGGGCACTTGCCTGGCATGAAGCCTGCCCAGGTTGGCCCCCTGGCACCATGTATGATCCCTGAGCACCGCCAGGAGTGATCCCGCAGCTCTGCTGAGCTCTGCCGACCTTCCCAAAGATTCTCAGGGACCACCAGTGAGGTCAGAACACCCTGGAGGCTCTGAAGGGGTGTCGCCCTGGGATACCAAGGCAGGGCTGAGTAACCCCAGGATGTGGGCTCGCCTCGCATGTCCCTGTGCCCTGGCACCCTCGTGCTCCTCGTCCCTAGCTGTGGGCCCCAGGCTGGGCCGGTCTGCACGTCCCTCCAGGAATGTGCTGCAGGGCCCAGCAGATTGTTCCGTGGACCCTCACAAGCTAGGTTTGGGCCAGAATGCCCCAGTGGGGAAAGGGGGGAGGTGCTATGGATACCACTCCCCTGGACCCCAATCTAAGAAAGACGTGGAACCCAGAAACCATGACTGGCCAGTGGAGCAGGGCGGGGGCTGACAGCCGCCTCCCACTGGGATGGGTCTCGGGCACACAGGCCTTGGTGCCCAGATCCTCTCTCTGGTCTGAAGGTGTAGGTGAGGCTGTGGGGAAAAGGGCCAGGGGTCTCTCTGTAAAAGGGGTAGGTAGAAACCCAGCAGGAGGTGAGACTGGGGGCCCAGGAATGGGGGATGGTGTGGGGGATGGTGTGGGGGATGGTGTGGGGGGATGGTGTGGGGGATGGTGTGGGGGGATGCTGTAGGGGGATGGTGTGGGGGGATGGTGTGGGGGATGGTGTGGGGATGGTGTGGGGATGGTGTGGGGGATGGTGTGGGGGGATGGTGTGGGGGATGGTGTGGGGGATGGTGTGGGGGATGGTGTGGGGGATGGTGTGGGGGATGGTGTGGGGGGATGGTGTGGGGGGATGGTGTGGGGGATGGTGTGGGGGATGGTGTGGGGGATGGTGTGGGGGATGGGATGGTGTTTCGGGGATGGTGTGGGGGATGGTGGGGGGGATGGTGTGGGGGGATGGTGTGGGGGATGGTGTGGGGTGGGCACACTCTGGGGTCTGCCTGTGCCTGCAGGGGAGCAGAGAACGGAGGCGGCTTGAGGGAGAAAAACGGGGGCCTGGCGTATGCCGTGGGCTAGCAATCCGCCTGAGCATGGCTTCCCGGGTCACCCTGCCAGGGTCACCACAGCCAGAGGCTCTGGGTTTGGGGCATGGGAGCTGCCCAGTGGACACCTGGGCTGATTCTGGTGCCCATGAGCTATGAGAGCTGGGAACGAGGCTACCCCATGTCCCGAGTGGGCCCCTTGCCGGCCTCCTTCCAGTGTCCTCCGTGGGGTGCTGTTTGGAGAGATGGGGCTCAGCCACAGGACCCAGAGGTGGGCCGGAGGGCAGCAGAAGCTTCCGGCCTGTCCCTGGCTGTCCCTGCGGTCTCACGGGCTCCTCCTGCTTCCCCTCTGACCCTCCCAGCGCGTACCGGACAACCGAGGTGGCCCTCAGGGGCATGGGCATCAGTCTCTCTGTCTCGGAGTACAACACCACCATCCAGGAGAGCCTGTCCAGGTAGGACGGGGGCCCTGGGCCATCAAGGCCCCGCCCTGCTCGCAGGGACCCAGGCTCTGGGGTCTGTCGTGAATGTCAGAGGCAGCTCCGAGGCCCTCCCCCTGCCCGCCCCTCCCCTGCCTCTGGGTGCGGGGAGCACTTAGGTTGGGGTGCTCCCAGCAGAGCTGCCTGGGGCCCGAGGCTGGGTGAAGCGGCACCTCCATCCAGCTCCTGCAGAGTGAGGTGGGGTGGGGAGAGAGAGCGGGGGGTGGGGTGGGGGTAACATGCCTGCGGCAGGACGGCTGGGTCCCCTGGCCTCCTCTTGAGGGGTATCAGGAGGGTCCCGGCTCCTGCTGTGTTGGCCGTGGGGAGGGAGGAGGAAGCAAGTCAGCCCGGCCAAGATGCCCGCCCTGTGCTCAGCCATGCCCGGGGCATCCGGCCGTCACCCGGGACAATGCTGTCCTAGGTCCCCAGGGTCTGCTGCAGGAAAAGTGGGTGGTTGGGGGAAGAGTGGGCCATAGTGTGCTCTGAGCCACCAGGGCAGACAAGGCCAAAACCTGTGCCTTGGGATAAGAACCAGGGGGGATTCAAGCCAGGAGGACTTTCTGCAGGAGGCAGTAACAGTCCCTTTCCCTGTGACCCCTGCAGGTCTCTGTGCCCTTCCCAGCGATACGTCTCTCTCCAGTGCTCCCGTAAGTGGACTGTTCTTGCTGGATTATAGCCTACAGTGGGGCAGGAGATGGGGGACAGTGGGGTGGGCTTTCCTCTGGGGAAGACGGCTAGTGCTGGCAGGCTGAGCCCGGAAGAGGGGTTTAGCCTGCAGAGCTGTTTCTGGGGTCGGGGGTCCCGGAAGGCCTGGGCGCCGCTGCAGCCAGCTGTCCTCTTTCCTGACTGCTCAGGCCCGGAACCGGACTGCTGCTTCTCCAGGACCCTCAATTCTGGGCAGGGCCCAGCGGTCTGGAGAGCAACCTGGGGCCAGTTTACAGGGAACCCCATGAGACAGGGAGCTCGAACTGGAACTGATGTGGGGTCGAGGGAGAGCGAGGGGTGAAGCCCAGACTTGCTCCCCAGCACCCAACATGGTCCTCTGCAGAAGTGAGCCCTGAGCACGAGCCAGGAGTAAACCCTGAGCACCTCCAGATGTGACCCAGAACCAGAGAGACAGAGAGACAGAGAGACAGAGACAGAGAGACAGTCAGAGACAGAGAGATGCAGAGGGAAGGAGGGAGAGAGGGAAAGGGAGGGAGGGAGAGGTGCCAAGGGAGCATTTCTGAACCTCCTTGCCTCTTTGCATTCTGTGGGCAGGGGGCAGACAGATAAATCATGCAATGGGTCCCCCCTACCCTGCCCCGCCCCGCTCACCACAGAGATGGAACCGAATCCTGGCTTGAAGCCTCTTCAGAGCGCGAAGTCAGAGAGCCGGTCGCTGAGGGGCTGGTATTTGGCCTTGAGTCTGACCCCCAAGTCCTGGCTCTTAGCAAAAGCACACGTCCTGGGTTCTCAATTACAAGGGGGGGGGTAAGGGGGGGTGTCCCCTGCCCAACTCCACGGACGCCTACTTCCCCACTCATTCCCTCGAAGGGAAGACACACATGTGAACAAACTTGCTGACCCTGATTTGGGGTGGAAGGGACTCACCCCCGACCAGGCTTAGGAATGCCCCCTGGTGTGGGGTCCAAGCCCGGCTGATGAGCCCTACTGTGCATTGTGGGATTTTATTGCTCCTTCACAGGGAGGGAGGGTCTCCAGGGAGCCGTCTCAGCTCCATGGGGTGTGACCCATAGAGATAATGTCTGTTTGTCCAGGGGCTGCGGCCCTCATGCTCAGTGCAGTGCTCACATGGGGGCATTTTATTAGATTTGTGGACTCAGTGAAATAAACGGTGTGGGGGCTGGCGTTGGGGGGGCAGTGGAGTGGGGCATTTGCCTTGTATGCAGCTGGACCTGGGCTTGATCCCTGGTGCCACACAAGGTCCCCTGAGCCCTGCCAGGAATGATCCCTGAGCACAGAACTAGGGGTCAGCTCTGAGCACCCTCAGGTGTAGCTCCCAAACTGAAAACGATTGTATAAGTGAGAGAGGAGGTTGTTCTCGAACCCTCTGTCCTCCCTGTGAGTCCAGAAAGCTAAACACAGCCGGGGGAGGGCGATGCCCTTTCAGATGCAATGAGCACAGCGGGGTTCACCAGCATGGGGGGTGCCCCCCCCAGGACCCACATTCCTGACCGGTCTGTGTGCTTTGTCACAGACTGTGGCCTGCGGTCCTTGACGGGGCGCATCGTGGGAGGGGAGCTGGCCCCCGAGAAGAAGTGGCCCTGGCAGGTCAGCCTGCACTACGGCTCCTCCCACATCTGCGGGGGCACGCTCATTGACGCCCAGTGGGTGCTCACGGCCGCCCACTGCTTCTTCGTGTGAGTCTCAGGGTGGCAGTCTGGGGGGTGTGGGGTGGGGCCAGCACCAGGGCCACCAAGAAGGAGCTCACAGCCTGTCCCCGATGCCTGGGGATTCTGAGGGGAAGGAGAAAACGCCGTGGTGAGGGTCCGTAGGGAGAGGGGGTGAGCTGGAAGCAGGCGGGGCTGCTGCTGGCGATGGCGTTCACAGGAGAGTCAGAGGCATCGTCCCGGGGAACCCAGGAGGGCGGGATGTTCCCAGTGGACAGTCCAAGGCCAGTCTTGGCCTATGCTGTGGGTGGGCGCATCTGGGTCAGACCCCAGGCACATGAGCTCTACAGAATGAGTCCTAGCAGCTGCTCTGGCACCTTGGAAGCATCTGAAGTTTCGGCTGAGGGCCATACCGGGCCGTAAGCTTCCCCCATGTCTGGGACTCAGGGAGAAGCTCTTGGCAGCCGTGCTCATCCTCTTCAGTGTTAGTTATTCTTTTTTTGGGGGGGGGTGGTCACACCCGGCATTGCACAGGGGTTACTCTGGGCTCATGCACTCAGGAATTACTCCTGGCGGTGCTGGGGGACCATATGGGATGCTGGGAATCGAACCCAGATTGGCTGCCTGAAAGGCAAACGCTTTACCTGCTGTGCTATTGCTCTAGCCCCGCCTTCAGTATTATTCTCAGGCACAGTATGCAGCTCAGGTTGCCTTCCATGTCTGTCTTGGGAGTCGGGGGTGGGGGGTGGGGAGGTCGCCTCAGTCCCTGGGCTAAAATAGAGCCACCCCCAACCCAGGACTTCTCGTCTTTCTCCCGCCTCCACTCTTGTGCCAGGGCTATACCTCCTTGCCCTGGTCACTTGCAGCTGGCCGGACCTGCCTGGTGGGTAACAGACCACACTTTCTCGTGGCTCATGCAGGACCCGAGAGAAGATTCTGGAAGGCTGGAAGGTGTACGTGGGCACCAACGACCTGCAGCGGCTGCCAGAGGCCGCATCTGTCTCTCAAATAATCATCAACAGCAACTACACAGACGAGCAGGATGATTATGACATTGCCCTGCTGCGGCTCTCCAAGCCGCTGGTGCTGTCGGGTGAGCGACCCCCCACCCCCATTCCCGTGCGGGGACTCCAGAGCTTCACAGGGGGGAAGTCAAGGCCAGAGGTTGGAAATAGCTGCCACAGCCAGAGGCTGCCCCACAGTTACAGATTGCCCCCCCCCACCAGACTCACTGAGCCTCATTGATATGGATCAATTGCACCCTTTCCCTAGTATTGATTGACGAGCTCATCCCAGAGGCCAGGCGAGCTCATCCCAGCGGCCAGGCGCTGAGAAGAGGCCTTCGGGCTCTCCTGTGTCACACAGCCTTTCCCTTCCCGAGGAGGCAGGACTTTCACTGGGCCTTTATTCCCCAGGGGGTCTGAGTGATGAGGGGCAGCTTGGGGACTGGCCCCGGATGGGGCTCCAGAGTACCATTTCCATTTGGCACTTGATGGACAAATGGCTGGCACTGCAGTGGACATCAGGCAGGTCCAGCCCTTGCCGGGAGCTAAAGACCAAGAAATGCTGAGAACCTGGGAGGGGAGTGGGGGTGGCGCTGCGATGTGGCTCCATATGCTGACTCGTTAGTGCCTGGTTGCAGTTGCTCACAGGAGAGACACACAGAGGCAGTGGCGGTGGGGGGCACAAGGGGGACTTGCGAGAGAGCCAGAGGAGCTATTGGACGGGGGCCCTCGCGGCAGGCATCCCCAAGGGAGCAGAGCCAAGAAGGACAGGCAGTTCTGGAAGCCTGGGAGGGTCTCTGGTTAGTCCAGCCGTGCTAGTACTGGAGCTGCCTCAGAGCACTGAATCATCCAGGTCCTGTGAGCATGAATCAGAGCGGGCTCAGCAGAGAGCATGAGTGAACAGGGCAGAGCTTGGGGGGGCGGAGCCGGAAGTTTACCCACACTGAGCCCCGCCCATGCATGGACACGCCCACACCGTGCCCCGCCCACGCGGGACACGCCCGCACAGAGCCACGCCCACCTATGGACATGCCCTACGTGGCCACGCCCACATGGGCACGCCCACGCAGAGCCATACCATGGGGCACACCCACAGAAGGACACGCCCACACGGAGCCACGCCCACACGGAGCCACACCCCCAGTAGGCAAGCTCTAGACCTCTTCTTTCTCTTCCTCCTCCTCCTCCTCCTCCTCCTCCTCCTCCTCCTCCTCCTCCTCCTTCTCCTCCTCCCCCCTCCCCTTTGCCTCTCATGCCCACAGGAAAGGGGGCACTGGGTCTGCAGGGCCAGAGCATATAGTGAAACCTGTATCTGCTGATCCCCCAGACTGCTGGGGCCCCAGCCAGCCCCCTCGGAATCCCAGTCCTGTTGCAGGGGAGCGGAAGGTACTGCCCCTCCTGCCTGCTTTTCAGATGAGATAGCCCAGTGCCTAGACACACCAGGGCACGTGCCTGAGCGGGTCTGGTAAGCCAAGACCTGGCGGCAGTGTCAGAGAACAGCCTGTGCAAAGTCCTGATGCACTGAATTCCACCCCCCCCTCCCGGTCAGAGTCGGCTGTGTCAGTGTTAAACCTTGTGGAAGACTTCATGTCTCCGGGGTGGATGGAGACTATTTTAAGAAGTCAGACTCTGCGGCTGTTGACAACTGATGCCATCAGTCATTTGTTCTAGTTGGTTTACTTTCGAGTCAAATTTGTTAGGCAGCAGTGCTTAAGCCCTCGTTCACTGGAGAATGAATCTGCACCCTCCTTCCCTCCTCACTCCCTTCCTCCCTCTCCCTCTCCTCCCCCTTCCTTGCTCTCTGCCTTTCCCTGTGAGGAGGGCTCCCCCGACAGGAAGCCAGGAAGCCGCAGAGAGTGCAGGAAACATGCATGCAACACACCTCTCTCTTTCTCCGGGATTTTCCTCTCGAAAATTGCAGCTTTGTGGGAATGTGCTCAGCACCCCGGGACCCGGGTGGTCAGAGGTATCTGTGCAGTGGCACTTAGAAGCACCTTCTCGGTGCCCCCTGAGTGTGGGCTCAGCCAGCCAGTGCCCCCCAGTACAAGCTGGACCATGCTCTCCCCTGCTTGCCCGCCCTACCTGACCAACACGGAAGCTCTGGGTGGGGGAGTCCCCATGTCAGCTTCACACCGGGTGGCTTCTAGGCACGTACTTCTCCTCTCAGCAGCTACAGGGGCTAGAGGGTCAAGACATGGCAGTTGAGTTTCTGTCCTGTTCATGCAGAGCCCTGCAGTGTTCTGAACCATCTTGGGAGCAGGGAGGGGTCTTGCTCCTCCTCCCCCTGCACTCATCCCCCCCAATCTCTCTCCCCCGCTCCCCCGCCTCACTCCTGCTCTGATGCTGAACCCGTTGCAGCTCACATGCACCCTGCCTGCCTCCCCATGCACGGGCAGACCTTTGGCCTCAACGAGACCTGCTGGATCACAGGCTTCGGCAAGACCAAGGAGACGGATGGTGAGCAGCAGAGAATACCAACATGCGGGGTGTGAGCACACATTTATGTGCCCTGCATACATGTGTTTGTGTACGCGTGGGTGTACCTGTGTGTGCACTGTGTTTGTGCAGGCGTGTGCAGGGAGGCATGACGCGGCAGAGGTCAGAGGAGGGCTCCCAGCTGTGCACACAGAGTCACAGGCCTGGGGCTGCCCTCACCGTGACTGTGTCCTAGTGGCAGGGGAGGGGGGTTCTCAGGAGAGGGCGGGTGGGTGCTGGCTTCCCAGCCTGCCTGAGTCCCTCCCAAGTCCATGCCAGCCTGGGCAGGAGCAGGGTGGTGGAGGTCAGCGGGGCCCGTGACCCTGGCAGAAGTGCCCAAAATGTGGAGACGGGGAATGGTTCCCAGCCGCGCGTACCTCAGCCCTCGCTCTCTCACCCGAGGGACGCTGAGGCCCTCCACTCCCTGTAATGTGGCGTCCCCCCTCCTCCGCCTGACCCCCACTCCCTCTCCTGAGGGCCAGCTTCCCCCTTTCCCTTTGGAATAAGCATCCCTGGAGGTTCGCCTCGGTCTGGTCATATTGGGTTTTTCTTGGCCAGTCTGTGTAAGAGCATTTTTTTTTTACTTGAGTTACCATGAAATTACAAAGTCATTAATACTTGAGATATATTTGGATGACTGGTCCAGTCAGAGATGAGCCAGAGGGGTGGCGGTTTACCCTGCACCCCTGCAGCCTCCAGGATAATGGGGTCCTCCAGCCAAGACCCCAGGAACAGCCCAAGAAACAGCCCGAGCATGGGGGCTTCTCCCTAAGAGGCTGTTAGAAGGACCCCACCCGCAATCGGGGCCTCAGAGCATCCGAGCTATGCTGTCCTGTGGTGCAGTAGGATGCATTCAGGAACGGGGCATGTCAGGAGCAGGAACCTTTATTGTTTCTCCACGGATAACGCAGCCTGGGTTTAACGCAGCAACAGGGCGCATGTGACAGCCACCTCTCATGGCTGGGAGAAGGGGTACCAGGCACTTTGGGGTACACACACTCACTGCCTTGGTTCCCATCCGCGGGGTCTCGCTTGGCCTCACTTCCGGGCCTCACCGCGGGGCCCGATCTGGCACTGGGCCACCTCTCCAGGGGACAGACCAGGAGCACCTCACTTTGATCTTGGGCACACCCCCCTACCCCATCACCCAATTGTGCCACTATGGGGTGGTGTCTGGTCTTCAGCCTGTGGTTCCTTCCACGCGAGCCTTGGTGGCAGCTGCTCCCAGGGAGGCGGGGTGTGGTCACTTGCAAACAAAGACAGAGACCCGAGGGGACAGGTGGCCGGTGCCAGGGGTGCCCAGTAAGGGGTGCCCAGCCTGGCATGAGGCTTCTGCTCCTGGGACACCCCAGGGCTGCATGCCTCACTGGAGCTGCCGGAGTCTCACGCCACCCCATCTCCCCCAGAGAAGACGTCCCTCTTCCTGCGGGAGGTCCAGGTCAACCTCATCGACTTCCACAAGTGCAACGACTACCTGGTGTACGACAGCTACCTGACGCCCCGGATGATGTGTGCCGGGGACCTGCGTGGCGGCCGCGACTCCTGCCAGGTGAGGCCTCGGCGCGGGGTGGGGCTTGGGGGCCTGGCCCCCACCCCGCTGATAAACATCTCCCCCATAGGGTGACAGCGGGGGCCCGCTGGTGTGTGAGCAGAATAACCGCTGGTACCTCGCGGGCATCACCAGCTGGGGCACGGGCTGCGGGCAGCGGAACAAGCCAGGCGTGTACACCAAAGTGTCCGAGGTGCTCCCCTGGATCTACAGCAAGATGGAGGTGCGGGGCTGGGGGTGGGTGGGCGGTGCAGGACTGGGAGGGTGCGGGCTGAGGGCCAGGGCTCAGGGAGGCTCAGGACCCTGCTCAGAGACCTGGGAGAGGGACCGAAGCTGGCCCAGTGCGACACCCCCTTGCTCTGTGCCCCGTCTGCCCTGGGCAGCCTCTGAGCAGTAAAGGGGGGGTCTGTGCCTGCCCTTCTCTGTCTGCAGGGGGCAGGGCAGGGGGCATCTTGGGCTCCAGAGCTCCAGTGCTGGGCCCAAGGGGGCTGGCAGACCCTCCCCCACCTTTCCCATGGGCAGCACTGGGGGACGCCTGGCTGAATTTTAGGCTCTGAGCAGGGCTGGGTGCACCCACCTTCAATACTCACCCTGTTTTTCTCTCTATCTCTGTCTCTCTCTCTCTCTCTCTCTTTCTCTCTCTCCTTCTCAGAGTGAGGTGCGCTTCCGGAAGTTGTGACCGGGTCCTGCCTCTCCCTGCGAATGGACAGGCCACACGCTCCTTCCTCACGGCCACTGCCACCATTCACTGTGTCTGTGAATAAGCACATGGGTGTGTCTGTGTGTGTACCCCCCTGGTGTGTCTCTGCGGGTGTGTACACACATGCTGCTGTGCTCACACTGTGTACCTGTATAGGCGTGTGTGTGTGTGCGTGTGTGTGCATGTGTGTGTGGGTGTCCATGTCGTGCGTGGCTGCGCTCCTTACCCCTTCTGAGACCAGGTTCGCGTCAGCTCTTCACCGCCACCAGGTGCTCCCTGGGCTGGGGTGTCCTTGCTGGACGGTGGAGGCGGAGCCCTGACAGCCCAGGGAGGGCCCAGCCAGGACTCTTGCTCCCAGGAACCCACCACCGCGGGCAGCACAGCGACACTGGCCTGGCAGGGACAGACAGTTTCTGGCCAGCCCTGTGGACACGACTCCCGTCGGTCCCAGCTGCCACCTGCCACCTGCCACCCGGGCACCGCCACAAGGACGCCCTGGCCTGGTCACAGGCGGTCACCGCGTATTTTATTTTTAATTTATTTTTGTATTTAAGAAGCGGATGTGTGTGTGTTTTTTTTTTTTTTTGAAATATTCGGGAGCCCGGAAGGCTCCTCATGGTCCTGGAACTCACTTGCAAGCCCTGACTCCTGCCCTGGAGATGAGAGAGCAGAGTCCTCTGGGCACAGAGACACTCAGGGAAGCGGCAGGCCCAGCATGCTCAGAGCCACGGCAGTCGCAATGCCAGGAAGCGCCAGGCTGTCTCCCGCGGGCCGGGGGCCCTGCACGCCAGGGCTGTCCTGGGACTTCAGAGCTTCTCCTCGGCTTCCCTCGCCTCAGTTTCCCCACTGTCCTGGAAAGAGAGCACAGCTGGGAGTGCAGCTTTGGCAACGAGGCTGGCATGCGCCCAGGCCCCGCACGGCCCACAGAAGGACTGGAGACGCTTTGCCCCTGACAGGCAGCCGTGGCCCTTTCCACCTTTCTCAGGGACACCCATAGCCCCCCACCCCGTCTCCCACTTCCCTTGGACCCCTGTAGTGCCCTCTCTGACCAGCCAGCCCTGCTACCGGGTAGCTACTTGTGCCTTAGCCCCGGCAGAGCCTCTGGGGTTGGCTGGCCAGGCCGTGCCTCACGGTGCTGGGCCCCCCGAGGTGCCCCAGCAATAAAAGTTGTCTAATCCGAATATTTGGTCTTTGGATTCTTTCTGGCGATGGGCTATATTTCATAGGGGCCTCCTCCACAGTGCTGGGGTACAGCGGACCATGCGCGGGCCTGTTGGCGGGGCTCGGGGAGGGTGGAAGACACCAGGGACGCACCCCAGGGTGCTCAAGAGGTCACTGAAGGTGCCTGAAGTCCAACCCCAGCCCTTTGGGCACCCGGCCTCTGGGGAGATGCTGACAGCCCTCCTCAGGAGCCCAGGTGGCTTCAGCTGTGGGTTTGCTTATATGATCTCTCATTTACTCACTCACCAACCATATCGGTGCCTTTTCTGTACCAGGCACTTGCCCAGGAGAGACAGAGACCTCGATAGTGTCTCCAGGAACTGCCAGTTGTGACCTCCAGCAGGGGAAACTGTGACTGTGTGGGACCATCAGATTGAGGGGGCGAGGGGACGGAAGAAGCTACCAGCTGCCCTTCAAGAAGTCAGGGAAGGCTTCCTGGAGGAGGTGAGATTGGTCAAGAGGCAGGGCGAGTGAGCTGGGGCTCTGCAGGGCAGGGAGGGCGGGGCAGGACACTATCCTCCTCTTTTCTTCCTCTCACTGCCCCTGCCTTTGCCAGCTCAGCTTGTTTCCAGCCAGCTGAGTTTTCCCACCTCACGTGGGTGGCTGGCTCCAGACACATGTGTTTCTCATTCCGCCCCCCCCACCCCCCCGCCTAAGCTCTGGAAATAATGCCCGCCCCACTCTGCCCAGGATGCAGCCCCAAGGGCCCCCGGCGCCCCACAGCCCAGCTCTCCGGGCTGGACTGGAGAGATCCTCCCAGCTCTCTGGAACTGCTCCTGGCTGGGGGTGTGGACGTGCATGTCGCCCCTGGAGGTGCTTTCATACTGGGGGGTGGGGCGGGTCCCCATGAAGTCCTCCTCCTTAGGAGGCTGTGCAGAGAGCACAGAGAAATTGGTGGGCTGCCTCCTTCACGGCCCCTTACCCAGTGCTCCAAGTGCTCGGTGCACCCCTCCCCACTGCACCTCTGCCGTCAGGGGCCACTGTACGTCCCCTAGCGTCAGAGTGTGGCCAGGCGGGTGGGCGGCCACAGTGAGCATCTCCGTGTGTGTTTGCAGAAAGGGGCCGTCTGCGTCTGTCTTCCTCCCAGACCCGGAACCACAGGCTGATCTTCTGTGGAGGTGGATTTGCACCTGGGGAAGCTGAGTGGTCTGACGAAGGACAGACGGACAGGCCACAGACAGATGGACATCTCCGAGAAGTTTCTCTACGTCACGGTTCTCTGAGATGTGCCACTATACTGTCTTGCCATCCAGGGAACAAGGATAGGATCCTGTCCCCAGCCCTCCTGGTGGCCTCTGACAGCCCCATCCACAGACACCTGCGTCCTGCCCGCCCTGTCTGCAGGACCAGGTGGACAGACATGAGAATTTGTCCTTCTCTTCCTTCACCTCTTGGCCACCTTTTCTGTCAGGCATGCCCAACTCTGCCTCAGGAAACCACTTCCAGTGTGCCCAGCTCGGTGAGACCCCTCTGTCCACTCCCTGGTGACAACATGAGGGGTCCCTCCGCGAGATGCCCCCCACCCCCACCTCTCCTCTGTTGGTAAGTGCTCCCCCAGGACCTCCTCGTCCATTCTGGGGGGTTCCAGCAAACACCAAGGAGCCAGCAGGAACCCGCCCCACGTACCTGACATATCGGCCAGGACACTCCTCTCCAGCGAAGAAAGATCGAGACCCAGCTTTGAGCTGCCGCAGTCAGGCTAAAACAACACGTGTGCCCTGTCTAGTGACTTCCCTGCCCAGGTCTGCCCAGGGTCTGGCCAGCAGCCTGCTGCTACCCGGTGCCCGAGTCTCTCCCATCCGCAGGGTCCCACTCAGGCCGTTCTCCCCCCATTACCCCCAGAGGCCTGCCCCTTGCTAGCCGCTGGTGCCTATTTCAGGAACACAGCACACAGGCCTGTGCCTCCCCGGTGGGGTCAAAGCCATCCTGTGCCCATGAGATCAGTGCAGGGCAGGGATGAGGCGAAACGTGGGTAATCGCGTACGCGTCACGGCACGTCAGTCCCTGTCCTCGTTCCTCCCGGGTCAGTGTCGCCGGTGAGGCTGTAGGTTTGACTTCGCAGAAGCGTTTGGGCTCCTGGGGCCGGAGTGATGGCACAGCGGGTAGGGCGTTTGCCTTGCACGCGGATGACTTGGGTTCGATCCCCAGCATCCCATATGGTTCCCTGAGCACCGCCAGGAGTAACTCCTGAGTGCAGAGCCAAGAGTAACCCCTGAGCATCGTTGGGTATGACCCAAAAAGAAACAAAAAAGCGTTTGGGCTCCTTATCGTAAGCGGGAGGTGCCACCTGCATTCCGGTGGCTCCACGTTCAGCTGGCGTGATCACTGCTGTGTACGGTGGCCGCTCTGCCTGTGAGCGTGCAGTGGGAGCTCGCTGGCCCCGTTTGCGTTTCTCTCCTGACTGTTGAGGCAGGGAATCTCTTCCTGTTGATCTGCCCTCGGCACTTCCTCCAGTTTGCTCTCGGCACCTCCCCTCTGGGGCTGTTCATCTCCCCAAGGACGGCTTCAAGCTTTGTCCAAATTTTCCAGATACCAGTTTGAGTGTGTGAGTGCTTTGTTTTCTGGATGTTGGCTTTGTTTTTGGGTCACACCTGTCGATGCTCAGGACTTACTCCTGGCTCTGTACTCAGAAATAACTCCCGGTGGGGCTCAGGGAACTGTGTGGGATGCCGGGGATTGAACCTGGGTCAAGCCAGGTGCATGGCAAATGCCCTCCCCACCGTAGCGTCGCTCCGACCCCCAGCAGCCTGTTAGCGGGGAGAGATGTTCATGTCACCGCTGCATCTGGAGGAGTGGAGAGTGACTGGGGACTCGTCACCCTAACTCTGGGGGCTCTCTCTGCTCCCACATCAGTGCTCTGGTTCCAAAGGGAGACACGTTGCTGGTTCCGGGAGAGCAGGGGGTGTGCCCACGCCTGCAGTGGCACCAGGAAGCCGAGTGGGCTCCCCTTGGGTTGGGACCAGAGATCAGGAGAGCCCAGATTCTACTCTGCTAGACTCCCACCGCTGCGGGCACGGGTACCCCGAGAGCAGGCCCTGAGCGCCCTGGATGTGCAAAGTCAGGCCCAGGTCTCACCAGGGGCCACCTTGGTTGGAACTCTGGGGCAGCTGTATGTTAGGGGACAGTTGGAGGAGTCCAGGCGGCTTTCGGCCAGGACAGCATCCTCTGACCTCTCTAGCCTTGCGCCCAGGTGGTGGCCTTTGGCTCCCATGTGTCTATGGCAGCTGCCGAGCACGCCGGGGCCCTGTGTCGGAGAGCCCCCGGCCGGCATCTGGGGAGGAAGAAGCATCTTCAGGGCTGAATGTTTGTCTCTCTGGTTCGGTCCCAGGCTCAGGGGTTCTGGGCGCTGCTTTCCTGCCTGGACGCCCTGCTCTGTCCTCTGAGCCCCTCCTCCCCACGCAGGAGGAGATTGGCCTGGAGAGCACCAAGCAGCCTCCAGAGGCGGGTCTAAGAATGCAGAGAGGGGACAGAGGCTGCAGGAGGGTGGGGGTGTCAGACCTAGGCGTGGGGGGGGACACCCACTTCTGCTGCTGGGGACTCTTCGTGTGAGGCCCACGGGTGAGGCCCAGTGCCTGGGGCAGTCACTGGACACAGTCCAGGCCCCATGCTCACTCCCATCCGGCCCCTCCCAGAGGCCCTGTGCGGTTGGGGATTATTTGACTCCAGGTGGACGTTTGCATCTCAGCCGGCACGGCAGGAAGCCAGCTAGCTCCTCTGCTCTAGCCGCTGACCTCCCAGGCCAGGCCCGCAGGGCACTG